ACTCACATTTTTACATCACATGACTTTTCGTGATTACAAAATGGACATGTGAATTGTGTCTCCAAAGCCTCAATGGCTTTTCTTTTTGGAGGAGGTTTCCTTTTACTTTTTCTCCTCCCCATCTTGTGTAATGTTCAATACTGAATACCACTTAAAGCTTCTTCACTGAAAAGAATAAAAATAAAATGCACACGAGTTTAGATTTTTTTAAACATACCTTATGTGTAGCCCCAGCTAGAAGTAATTCAAAGCAGCCTTTCTTTGACCAAAAAATAAATGCAATTTTGAAATTTTTAATTATGTGAATAGTATGCTTCTAATATTTGCAAATTTGTGTTTTTCAATGAAGGAAAAAGTTGTAAGTATTATTATATTAATAACTATGTGACTTATGCTTCAGTGGAAACCAACTGCAGGTTTAGTCATCAGTTTAAGAAGACAAATTTGGGTGGTAGCTATAATAAGTATTGTATTGTAGTCATACATACTACAGAGAAACTACCTACACCACTATCATAGAACAATGTCCCTTTTTTATGTAAATTAGGCATTTGATGATCTAAAATAAAAATGACTGGTCAATGAGCTTATGGCTAGTAAATGAACACCTGGCAGAAGTGGCTTTAAGTCTTAACAGTTTATACCACTTCAGTATAGAGCATGACCATTAAAAACAATGAGGGACGACTGATGGTGATACTGCATGCTTAAAACAAATGTTTATAAAGTGTTAAGACTTCTATAACATTTCATTTAAGAGCTGTTTTCAATAGAATGTAACCCATCAGTATTCAATACATTTTCAATGGGATAATGATAACAGTCCAATTAGCACATAAATCAATCAAACCAGTCAGTCCTATCTTTTTTCAAATAATGTGTTAATCAGTTTATTACAGTGGGAAAAGACAATTTTCATTCATCAAGATGAAGCCACAAACTAATGCACCAGCATATGGCAGCACAAAGAGTTATAAATTAGTCCCAATAATTTGTAGCATTAATGGTATTACTTCACAGAATGAAAAAGCTGATGCATCCACCAATATTTATTCTTGTCCACACCAAACTTCCAACGTCATCTTAGTGTCACGTTTCATAATATTATGGACAACAACAAGTCCTTCAAGGCAGTCCCCACATGCCCACTCCTGAAAGAGTAAATACTTTAAACCCATCCTTTATTATTCAAAATATTTCTTTTTGAAGCTTTTGTGCCAGCCTTTGTTACTTCTTATGGCACCTCATATGCTAATCACTGTTAGAAAAATAAAACTGTCTTAACTGGAAGCTTGTCTTTTCCAAATCTTAAAACTTGTAGTTTTCTCGGCCTATTAACTTCAGAATACACCACAAAACAATCAGGCCTTTATTTTATCAATCCCATACATAACGTAAACTTCAATAAGTTCACTTATTATTATTTTCTCAATAGATATAAGTTAAGAGATCTTAACCTATCCTTATAAGATAATCCTCCCATTACTAGGATTAATTTAACAGCCCTTCTCAAATACCTTTTTAATGAATAAGTCATTATCCATTCTTAGATGAGAAGACAAACTGTACACAGTATATCAAGTGAGGCCTAACTAGTGATTTATATAGAAGGATAATTTCCCCTTTTGACTTGTTGCTAATATTAAAGCTCAAAATTTTAGGGTGTATTCAGATACACTGAACAACAACAAAAGTAATGCCACCATAATTAAAAAGAATGTAGTTAAGTTGAATCTGTTGCTTTTAAATGAAACCAACTAAACTTTATTGCAAATCATACTATAACTGTAAGCTAAGAAATCTTAGAATGGCATATAAACATCTTACTTTGCAAACTGATCTTGAGAGAATACTGAAACAGGTCCTCCAACCAGCCCACAGAATTCACTATCTCAAAAACAAACAACTGTTTTGCATCTCAATTCTTTTCAACACTATTTTTTTTACAAGAATCTTCTACATATGCAACTTGCAAGGCACAGAAAAAGTTCATTATCTGAAGAGTGTTTATCATTTTGATTTTATGCTATACAGTACAGAAATAAAAAACATATACCTTCATTTAGTACCCTGATTCTGACTCACTCACTAAGCTTTTTCCTTCCAGTAGAAAAAATCACCTTTGTTTTTACTTAAACACAGAAAGTTCCAGTACATTGTTTCATTACAGTTTCACAGACTGAAACAATATTCTCCAATATGTCGACAATTTGTTCAGTAGAACTTGTTTCCATGCCTTGATGATTTACCATCTGCATCTTATATTCTTACTTATAAACACTAACATAATTTTCCCATATTTTTCCCCTCAAACAAGTATAAAATTGCATTTTCACAGTAAGGAGGCTGCTATACAACTAGTACACATTGGTACAAAGAGTTTGTTTTTTCTATTTCAATCATTTCCATAACTGTTGTCTTTATTAAGATATAACTGACTTTTATTTTTTCTAAACGTGGGAAAGATGATTATATTTTTCTAACATTTTTGACTCAGTCAGTGACACTATGTTCAAGTCAACAACCATTTGTGTAAGCCTGATTTTTTGTTTCAATTTTCATCATACAACTTATTATTGGATCAGAAATATGAATTGTCTCAGTTCTGATAATCTCTATCTTTGTTTTGTCCATCATAAATAAATGGATTCGACTTAATAGTTTCGTCTTGAGTTTACTTACTGATAATAAGTATTATTTCGTTACATATTAAAGCTTTTACAATTACAGTAAGGAAGAATATTTTTAAAACATGTAGAACGTTTCGATCACTGATGGCAGTGGTGCGATTATTCTCAAGTAGTGAACTGTGAAGTACTCAAGTTTTAGAATATATTTAACAGTAAAGTTTAACAGCTTAAATACTCCTTTACTGTAATTTGTAAAAGCTATAACTTGTATTAATAAAATAATGAATACGACTGTTAACAGTGTTGGGCTCTCATCGTATCAGTAGTACTAGTAGCTTACACTTGTATAAAGAGTTTTGCTTTTTCTATTTTACTCATTTCCATAACTGTTGTCTTTGTTAAGTTATAACTGACTTTTAAATAAGTCTCTTAATGTTTCAAATTCAACTTTCAAGTCCAAATTTCATTTGCAAGGCGCTAATTTTATAAAAATAAAATCAACACCCTCGTAATTTGTATTCAAATAAAAGTAGGCTTAACACAAACTTCACTTAAACCTTAAGGTAATTAAATTATCAGTAATAAAGTAATTTACTTAATATATGATCAAACTTGGGAAATATAAAATATACTTTTTTACCTTGAGAATTAATCTTTCAGTTGAAAGTATCCGCAAAGATGTAATAAATCATGCAACCTAGGATTACAAACTTGTGCGTTCTCGCGCCGTTTTCAATACACCAGAGGGCGCAGATATCACACAGGGATCGTGTCATATGTTATGTCAGTGTTCTAAAGGTCATGAAATTCTTACAGTTTGAGGCCAAAAATTTCGAAACATAGGAATTCCGCGAATAAAAAGAAAAATATCCGTAACGCTAACAGTGGGAAATGTAGGGGCATGTTTTTAGCTGCAACATGAAGAAAGTTTTCTTTATTCATATTTATTCAAATAAACATGACATTATTTGTTTGTAATTAAGCACAAAGCTACACAATGGGCTATCTGTGCTCTGCCCATCACGAGTATCGAAACCCCGGTTTATAGCGTTGTAAGTCCGCAGACGTGCCGCTGTGCCACGAGGGAAGGGGGGGGGAATTAACTTGACATGGAAGAAAAATTAATCTATCTCGTAGAAATTTTATGAAAAGCTGTTTTATTCTTTAGATGATTAAACAAGACCGCAATATATTTTTTGTGGTTTTGTTTGTAAAATTGTATGAAAGAATGGTAATTGTGTCTGTCAATAAATTTTGGCATGTATCTTTCAGACAGCTTCTAACTTTCCTCATTTCATATGTCACTATTCTGCTAATGCTAAAAGAGACACAAATGAAATTGGGGATACTCTTTTAATATTTTGTATTTGCCATGATATAAAATACTGTTTAGTGTAAGTAGTATTAATTAATTATTTTGCGAGTTAATATTTCATGATTGTTTAGTTGTTTTTTTTTATAATAAGAGAGTTAAAAGCAGACGTTTATTGGAAGTTGTGTTTATAATTCATTGATGTCGAGGCTATCGAATTTTGCGTGAAATTTATCAAGTCGAGGATATAGATATTTCTAGAAGGCGAGCAGATAATTAAGTGATAAATATATAAATAGTGTGAGAACAGCAACTACTGTGGGAACAGCTGATAGACAGAGCAGACGATAAAGTAAACTCACGGGAAGCAGAAGTGCGGCCAAAGGAAAGGTTAGAAAATGTAAAGTTAACCGTCGTAGGAGTGAATTTTTAACACTTTAGGAAAATATCTTGTCTCGTGAAATGGTGTTGTAAAGTAATTGAACATGCTTGTGTGGACTTTGACAAAAAGCAGACGATTATTGGAAGCAGGCCTAAATACAAAAAGCAGACGATATCGGAGGTTCAGGATACAACTGTAGTGACTCAACGAGGCAGCGTAAGTGAATTATACATCGATACTGTTGTGATAAGAAGAAATAGAATAGAGAGAGAAGAAACGGAATAAGTGAATTATACACTGATAGTGTTTAAAATAGAAATAGAAAAAGGTAATTAGGCTTTTCAACTGAAATCCCAAAGCAATTGAATAGTACCAAGTGGACTTTTGACAAGAAGAATAGAACTGTTACGTATCTGTTTGTTTGTTTCCAATAGAAATTCTTTCCAAGAATCTTCAGCGATACAAGTCCTTTCTTGATTAAACCAGTTTATTCTTCCTCGATAAAAACTTTTAGTACACAGAAGTTCCACAATTCAGTACGTCTCTCGTCACTTTAAACTTAACAACTTTATAATAT